CTGCTGAACTAAGCAAGGTCGACAGCGGTTTGTCAAACTGCAAACAACTGCCTTAAAAAAAAAAAAAGTTTTATGCTGACAGTGTTACTTATTCCAAAAACAAAGGGTACGGTGACCTGCACTTTTGTCTTCACAGCCGGAAAAGACAATTTCTGCATCCCCCAGCCCGCAGGCCGCCAGGACCCCCGCCTCGCCACCACACTGCGAAAGCAGAGAGGCGCCATTCCAGGGACCACGTCGGCGAATGACAAGGATGCCAACGTGGCTCCCGGACGAGCTTCCGTCAGGCCCTGAACCCCACTTCTGTTTTTTGAGGTCTCTTCCAAACGCTGGGCAAAGACCCAGAGTCATCGACATGCAAAACGAGAAAACAGAGCAGCCCCAGCCAGCACAGACCCAGCCGTGCGACCGAACCACTCTCGATCACAGGCAGGGAAGGCCTTGCCCACGCCAGCTACTGCAGAGGCGTCTGCCCTCTCCCTCTACAAGTGAGGCAGACACATGCCACCTCACCCCAAGATGCTCAAGCAGAACAGCCACTGGGCCAGTCAGGAGACCCACAGCCCAGGCATTAGGAAGACACTGAATATGAGATTAAAGAAAGCAGGTTATCCAGAACAGCCAACCCCCACTGCTAGGCAGCAGGAGCAGGCCAGGCCCTTCGCTGCAGACCTGCCCCAGGAGGAAGCAGGCGACTCAGCCTCCACACCCGCTTCCCCCCAACCACCCCCGGGCCAGCCCTGCCCACGCAAACAGAGTCAGAGCTCAGAGCAGCAGAGGGTCTCAGGACCCCCGAGCCAGAGCGGCCCGGGGGCCCAAAGCGCCTCTGGGACCGCAACTCCAGGCGGACTGAGGGCGTTGCCGTCGCCTGCCAGCAGCGAGAACAGAAGGGCCACGAGCTCTGGCTCAGCCCCGGTGCCCAGCTCTCGGCCACTACTCACAGCCGTGGTAGGAGGCCGGCGACCCCCCGGCCTTGCCGTACTCCTGCTCCGAGTAGCTGGTGGACAGGTTGGGCTGGCTGGAGCCCCGGCCAAAGGTGAGCTGGCTGCTGCCCATGCCGGTGGCCACCTGGGCCATGCGCTCCTTGGTCTTGAGCGCCTGCGCCCGCTCGGCCTTCAGCCGCTCCTCGTCCTTCAGCAGGGCCACCAGCTGCTTGGCCTTCTCGCGCACGTTGACGCCCTGGTCCTTGCCATCGCGGTCGACGTACTGGAAGTCCTTCAGCGTCTGGATGGCGAAGATGTTCTCGCGGCACTGCTGGGCCACGCGCTCCGAGCCCGTCTTGATGAGGTAGTCGAGCAGCGTCAGCGCCTTGTACACGTGCCGCCAGTTCTTGCCGTGGTCGTTGAGCCGCTTCCACACCATGCTCATGATCTCCGAGAAGGCCACCACGTTGTAGGTCAGGTCCGCGACCTCCGTCATCAGGGAGCTGGATGGGCCCCACGGGTCGTTGGAGGTGGCTTCCCGGACTTTGATTTCGGCTTCCGAGTAATTGTTCACGATGTTTTTCATCTGCCGTCTGATAGACGAAGTCGTCATCTTTACTTTCTCTGTGACAAATGTAAAGCCCTTCAAAGAGAGAAGCTTCCCTGTCCCAGGCAGGTTCGCACCCCGTGAAGGTTCAGTCTCCGTAATGGGTCTGGAGCAGGGTCCCTGATGGTCATTTCCTCTGTTGGAGCCTCAGGTCCGAGAAGCTGGAAGCCATGACCTAGAGAAAGAAGACAAACGTTACTGTGCACGAGCCCCCCACCCCCGGCACGGCAAGCATTTTGCAAACAGCAGGCACTGGTCAGCCAGGGCGGTGCGTGGTCGTCGTCCAGCCCCCAAGGACAAAAGAGATGCCATCTTCCCTTCAAAACTAAGATGAGATCGATATTACAAGTTAAAAACGAATAAAGTTTGGGACCTCCCTGGTGGCGCAGTGGTTAAGAACCCGCCTGCCAATGCAGGGGACATGGGTTCGAGCCCTGGTCCGGGAAGATCCACATGCTGTGGAGCAACTGAGCCCGTGCGCCACAACCACTGAGCCTGCACTCTAGAGCCCGCGAGCCACAACTACTGAGCCTTTGTGCCACAACTACTGAAGCCCACGCGCCTCAATGAAGAGTAGCCCCTGCTCGCCGCAACTAGAGAAAGGGCACATGCAACGAAGACCCAGCACAGCAAAATAAATTTAAAATAAAATTTAAATTTAAAAATGGTTAACTTAAAAAAAAAAAAAAAAGGAATAAAGTTTAAACTCAAGTTTAAGCCCCTGGAAGGAAAGCAGTAACACTGTAACTACTGTTCTATTTTCAAAACACTTCCACTGGATCGGCTCTGCTGCGATTGTGTTTCTTTTACAAATTTATTTATTCATTTGATTTGATTTATTTTTGGCTGCGTTGGGTCTTCGTTGCCGTGTGCGGGCTTTCTCTAGTTGCGGAGAGGGCGGGCTACTCTTCGTTGCACTGCGTGGGCTTCTCATTGCGGTGGCTTCTCGGGAAAGTCCCCGATTGTATTTTGATTGTATGTTTCTTCCACCGCCAGGCAAAAGCCAGCTAGAACAATCTAATGCCTGTCTACACTGGCTTGGGCACCACGCTTCTAACTGCGGGGGATTCTCCGTGACCACCTCTCCTGACTTCTTATAAAGGCTCCCAACTCCCCTTCTAGGGCAGGGCTCGGGCCCTCCACCGGGCTTTCAAAAGCCTCAGGCATCTGGCCCAAGCTGTGCAGTACAACCTTACAAATAATCTGGTTCTACCCCAATTTCCTCACTTCACAGAGGAGAAAACTGAGGGTTACACATTAACAGGATACCCAGCCCTTTGCCACAAACACACCTCTCCAGGGAAGAAACTTCTGCGGAGCTGGAGTGAGGGCCACACCTCTGGCCACGGGCTCTGGTCCAGAGTGTGGGGATCCCACCTGGCTTGGTCACCAGTGAGCACCCAGCACTGTGCCTGACGTGGATAATAAACACTGCTGATAGATTTATGAAACAGATTAGAAACAGTGTCCCTTCCCTCAGGAAGGCACAGCCTGGCAGGGGACAGAGATGAGCACAAGGCATCTAAGGATGCATGTCCAGAACAACTCAGCCGGCCGCTTGGGGCCGCAAAGGCGGGCACGGAGAGCACCTTCTGCAGAAGTAACCTTCAGGGAGGCCTTCAAAGGGGGAGACTTCCGGGAGGCGGCAGGGGAGCGGCTGCTGGGAGACTCCCCTCCTCCAGAAGGAGGAGCCAGGCCCAGAGCCCACAGGGGCCGCCGAGGTCAGAGCAGTGCAGCCAGGCGGGGACGAAGCCAGCAGCTGCCCCACACCCCACCCCACCCCAGCTGCCTCTGGGCCTCTGGCCTGGGAAGGAGCCGGCTGGCCTCAAAAAGCCTTCCAGGTAAGGATCGTTCCGGCCCTGGTGCAGACGGGGAGCCCGGGCCCCCAGGGAGGACCCGCCACCTCACCGTGGCCCCTACGCTGGGCTGCTCCTGCCAGAGGGACGACGGACGGCCCCCACCGGCCCCACCCACAGCCTCAGAAGGGAGGAAACAGAAGTGTTGGGAGGGGAAGCCGCAGGAAATGCCCAGTCCGCACAGGGAGCCAGCGGACAGGGGGAGCACAGAAGCCCACCCTAGTGACAGTCGCACACGTGCCCCTCAGCAGGCCAGGAAGCCTGCTTCCTTCTGAAGCCACAGAGCACACGGGCTCCCACGTGGGTGGGCACAGCCTGCCCCCTCACTGACCAACCGGCTCTCACAAGCCCTCTACCGTGTGCCCCAGGACCAGGGCCAGGCGCTCTGATGGGGACCCGCGTGCATGATGTGACCAGGCTGGCTGTCCACGCCGGCGAGAGGATGGGCCTCCAAGGGGAAGGGCTCCGACGTCCCAGAGCAAACGCTTGCCAACGTCACACCAGTCACCCGAAGTCCCCAGGGCCCAGGCCCACCCGGCACTTTATCTATCACCCACTGGGGGGCTCGGCAGGCACGAGCGCCCTGCCCCCTGGAGAAGCAGGTGGGCTGGAGAGACCCCGGCCACCTTCCTCCAGGTCAGGAGGCACTCCGAGGAAGCACAAGGGCAACGGTCCTGGTAAGCAGGCCTCAAATGGTTAAAGGTATAATGAAAAGCAACCAGGTCCTGGGGGAGAGATGCTGGGTCGGGCTCTGCTGCCCATCCTCTAGTCTGGTGCCCTCCCGGGGGAGGCCGCGAGGCCCGGCCAGGGCACCCCCCGGAGCCTCCCAGGCCTTTGGTGGCAGAGAAAAGGCAGCCGTTCCCGCGAGCAAGGGCTGGGTGCCTCCGCCCTCCCGGACCCAGGCTGGGAAAGGAACCCGGACAGCTGAGAAAGAGGGGCTACGGCCCAGCTTGCAAGGACACCTGTTAGCAGTCTCTCTGAAATGCTTCGGCTTTGAGAGGGGAAAAGCTAATGAAATACTTGCTACAGTCAGAGAAAGCATAGGAATGTACTGTGAACAGCTGCGTGCTGTTTTCCTAAAGCTACAGAAAGGGCGAGACGGGGGTAAGCAATTCCTGAAGGGGAAGGGGCCCCAAAGGTGCCTCCGAGGAACCATCCTCAGGGCCCACCTGCTCCGCGCCTGCCTCACCTGAGACTGCAGGTGAGTCTCTGACGCTGTGAGGGGCCTCCTGGGCCCTCAACGGAGGATGCGGGCACTGTGGGTCCATCCCACTCACCCCACAGACCTCAGACCTCGTTTTCCCATTTTAAAACCTCCCCTCCTCAACCCCAGGATCGACTGTAAACGCCCAGACATCTTCCTGCCAGCAAACACCCGCCGGGGCTGCCCTCGAAGCCCCGACACTCCCCAAGTGCACACCCAGACCTGAGTTCTGTTCTGTTCTCACTCTTTTCTGAACAGCTTGCAGGCCCCACTGTCCAAACTTTCCTCCTCGATTTGCCTTCCGTTCCCAGCTTGCTGAGCCTGCACAGCAGCAGGCAGGAGCCAAGGATGGAGCCGGACAGGACAGGACACTGCCTGAACCTGTGGGCCCACCTGGGCCCGAAGCCCCGTACCCTGCACTTCACAGCTGCAGGAGCCCTCGCGGCCACGTGTAACTGGCAGCCTGTGCGCTCCGTCCTGGGTGACGGCCAAAGAGCACACTCGGAGCCTCCAGGACAGGTGCGGGGACTCCAACCAGGCCCCCAGCCGCAGCTGACCCACAGCCCAGGCCGACCGAGGAGCTGCAGCCCTTAGCCCTCGACACGCAGGCACCCCAGCCAAACTCTGGAATCATCGCTCTTCTCCGAGGGCAGCTTACAGCGGCGACCATAAAGTAACCACTGGATCACGTTTGCCGAGGACAGGCTAGGGCAGAACAATTCTGGCGTATTTGAAAACACGACCAGAATTCGACTGACAGTGGAGACTAGAAATAGACTGAATAAAACAGCAAACAGAACAAAACTAAAACAAACAAACAAAAAATTCCAAGGCTAGAGTGATGCCCCTGGAGGCAAGAATTATTCCATAAAAACATGCTCCGGGGGCCTGCAGAGCTGGGTGGGGAAATTCCTTCCAAATCTAGAGTCCCGGACCAACCGTGGGAGGGAGAAGCTCTCCGTGGTCCTGCAGCCCATGTCGGTCCCTGGTCAAAGCCCACGTGTGCCTCGGCTATCGTGCTTCTGTGATGGGGCATGGCTGGCCAGGCGCGGAGAAGACGCAGTCGGTCGGGGTTTCCACCAACCCCCCACGGAGATTTTGGGGGCTTTTCAGGGATCAGGGATCGTTATCAGGGACCAGGACCAGCTATGAGGGAAAGGCAGCAAACACCTCTCGCCTCCCCAAACCTAACAGTCACAGGCCAGGCCAGTCACAAGCAGTAGATCCCACTGAATGAATGTACCCCAGACGGTAGCTCACACACCATCTGCATCTGGCAGCCTCCTGCGACTTTCTCAAGGCAGGTGACAGCCTTCACACCCACGGCGGGGAGCGGAGGGCCAGCCAGAAAAGGAAACGTCCTCCTCACTCACTGAACATGGCATCCATATCCCAACGACTCCTCGTTGGGTAGAGAAATCAAATTTTATATCTCTATCCCAAAAGTGGGCTTAAGGAAAACTTTGCATTCATATACTGAAAGAATTGCAAAAAACGAGCATGAGACTTAACTTCCAGATGATAAAGCAGGTACAGTGAAACCACCCATACAGGAAGAGCCCAGGGGAGCCAGTGAACTGGCTGTAGTGGGGTCTGACGGCCCTGCCCCCATGCTGGATGACCCCTGCCCCCTCTAACCAGCCCCCAAAGAGCCACCTGGGGGCTTCTCCCAAGACACGACAGTCGCGGAACAAGCAGAGGAAAATTCAATGTCAGACATCCTCCTATGGACTTTACCTGTTCTTGATTTTTCTAAAAGTAGAAATCAGTACTGAAAACACACATGAGGAATTTCGTTTTTCTTTATCAATGTGGCCAATCATTCAGTCTCTGGGAAGAGCAGCCCTGGGCGCAGATTACACAGGTGTTGAAACGTGGTCATTTTAAAGGATTATGTGAAGCAAGGACCAGGGTCGGGAAACATGGTTCTGGCCATCCGACAACACAGTCACTTAGAAATGGGGATGTGACAAGCTGCACCTCCCTCACAGGGTCGAGGATCAAACACCCTG